TGCTTAAAATCCTTCATGACCTTCTAGTCCTCAAGATATACAGACTCCTTCATCTGGCTTCACGACTTCACCTGTTAGCCTCACGTCCCTCCTCTGCCCCACTTGTAATCCACATTCCAGTCACGTATGCTTCTTTCAGTTACTCAGCCCCAGTTAGGCCCTCACACACTCTCTCTTGCCTCCAGGGCTTCATACATACTATTTCTTACTCCCTGGAGCATTTCCCCATCCACCGCCCCCCCCCTCCCCACTTTTTAAAAAAATAATTTTCTCTCATTCTTGAGGTCTCATTGATTTAAGAAGCCTTTTATGATACCTCTCCAGTGTGGCTTCTCTAGGCTCCCATAGGACCCAATATTCCCCCATCATAGGACTTAGCATACTTGATGATGTAACTTCTTGAATCTGTTGGTCTTCCTGAGCATACTGTAAGACATCTATCTTGTCCCCATTTTGTCCTGATCATGAAACACAGTAGTAGTTTAACAATTCTGTGATAAATGAATTTTTCAATTTTCTTCAAGTCTTCCATGGGACTCCTCTTCCCATTCATTTTTGCTCCATCCGTGCCTAAGGTGGAGCACTGCCCAGCACACAGTAGATAGTGCATGTGGCAGACACATGGTAAGCCGACTAGCCGAAAGCCCTCCTCTTCCTCGTCATTCAGAGTCAGCTTTTACACAGGGATATAAAATGCTCAGCTAAGTAATCAGTTTCCCATCCTCTCTGCAGCTAGGGGTGCCATGTGGTACACTTCTGATCAACGAGAAGAAACCCGATGCATTCTGGATGGGATGTGGGAAAGCTTTTGCTTTCCCGATTAAAAAAGAGCACAGTAGGCCAGGCATGGTGGCTCACGCCTGTAATCCCAGCACTTTGGGAGGCTGAGGCTGGTGGATCACCTGAGGTTGGGAGTTCAAGACCAGCCTGACCAACATGGAGAAACCCTGTCCCTACTAAAAATGCAAAATTAGCCGGGCGTGGTAGCGCATGCCTGTAATTCAGCTACTCAGGAGGCTGAGGCAGGAGAATTGTTTGAACCCGGGAGGCGGACGTTGTGGTGAGCTGAGATAGCACCACTGCACTCCAGCCTGGGCACCAGAGCGAGACTCCATCTCAAAACAAAACAAAACAACACAAAATACCATATTTTTGAAGAATAAAACAAATACCATATTTTGCCACTCAGAAAAAAATGATGAACACTTTGTCATATAAAACCAGACAGTAATAACCATCTGTGGGACCACACCCAAGACCCAATGCCCCTTCTGATTCTCCTACCCTTCTCCCCAGAAACCACGGCCATCATGGATTTTTGGGTGTATCTTTCCAGGCCTTTAAAAATATTTTTCTACATGAATGTATTTGTGTATAATAAAGTATTTATTTGTGTGAATTTACATAATCATTTAATCTACAAATGAGGGCTATTTCAGCTCATTTTGTCTAATAACACTCATTTCTTAGGTTTCTGTCTTATTGCAGTAGTGAGTATCCCCAATGCAATCCTAATCAGCAGGACTGCTAGCAGGCATTTGGGGTTTTCAAACTAACTGTACTGATATTACTTCTGATATTTCACATTAATATAAATTATATAGGTTTTCTCAGGTTAGGGAAGTTTCCTTTTATTCCTATTTGCTAAGAGTTTTTTTTTTTTTTTTTAAGACAGGGTCTCACTAGGTCACCTAGGCTGAAGTGCAGTAGTGGTGGCACTATCTTGGCTCACTGCAGCCTCGACCTCCTGGGCTCAAGCAATCCTCCCACCTCAGCCTCCCAAGTGGCTGGGACTACAGGTACACGCTACCATGCCCAATTAATTTTTGTATTTTCTGTAGAGGCGGGGTTTCACCATGTTGCCAAGCTGGTCTCAAACTCCTGGGCTCAAGTGATCCTCCTGCCTCGCCCTCCCAAAGTGCTGGGATTATAGGTGTGAGCCACTGCGTTCAGCCAAGTGGCTTTTTTTAATCATAAGTTTTTTAAGAAACCAAGGTTTGTTTTTTTTAAATTCGTCAAATCACAAATGAGTATTGAATTTTATTAAGCCTATTCAATAAATTTTTCATGTCCATTATTATATATTATATATTTACTTATCTGATAATGACTGTTTAAAAATATTTTATGAAGTTATTTCCTTGTACATGTGATGGTTTAGATCATAATATTTTGAAACACTTGCTAAAGCATTTAAATTTTAGATTGTTATAATGTGGTTGATGTGGTGATGTGGAGATGTGTATCCAATGAGTCTGAGACAGGTTCTGGGGGAAGCCAACCACCATGGCCCGAGGCTATTCAAACCACCCTCTGGAAAGGCCCAAGGAAGGAGCCTCTGGAAAAGGGTACCGAGGTGCCTCTTGCCAACAGCCAGTACAAATATGCCAACCCTGTGAGTGAGGGAGATGGGTTGAACTGTGTCCCCCAAACCTCCTATATTGAAGTCCTAGCCCCCAGACTTTCACAGTGTGACAGTATCTGAAGATAGGGTCTTTAAAAAGGTCATTAAGGTTACCTGAGGTTTTTCAGGTAGGCCCAAATCTGATACGACTGGTGTCCTTATAAGAGGAGCCTGGGCAACATGGCAAGACCCCATCTCTACAAAAATATTTTTAAAAAATTAGCCAAGTATGATGGTACACACCTATAGTCCCAACTACTCTGGAGGCTGAGGGAGGAGGACGGTTCAGGCTCTGGAGGCTGAGGGGGTCTTTGTAAAAATATTATTGCTGTTACCTGAGGTTTTCAGGTAGGCCCAAATCTGATACGATTGGTGTCCTTATAAGAGGAGCCTGGGCAACAGCAGACCTAATTCAAAAAAAAGATTTTTAAAAATTAGCCAAGGATGGTGAAAGCACACTATCCTAATCTACTTTTGGGGAGAGGCTGAGGGAGGAGGAGAGGCTTGCTCACCTGGGAGGCTGGGAGGCCAATGGCTTAAGTGCTGGTGCCACCGACACTGAATGCCTGGGAAGGCAGGGAGAGAGGAGTGGAAACTGTCTGAAAAAAAATAGGGGGAATAAAGGCTATGGAGACAGGCAACAGGGAAGGATCAGCATGTGTGACTGCAGAGGATAAGTGCTGCCCATGTCAAGACTCTGGAGGCTGAGGGAGGAGGACGGTTCAGGCTCTGGAGGCTGAGGCTATACTAAGCTATGTTTGCACCACCGTACCTCAGCCTGGGTGACAGAGTGAAACTCTGTCCTGAAAAAAAAAATAGGGGGGAAATGTCGACACAGACATGCACAATAAGAAGATCATATAAAGACCTAGAGAGGATATGGCTGTCTACAAGCCCAGGAGAGAGGCCTCAGAAGAAACCAAACTGCAGATACCTTGATGTTGCACTTCTTGCCTCCAGAACTGTGAGGAAATAAATCTCTGTTGTTTAAGCCACCCAGTCTGTGGTACTTTGTTACAGCGGCCCTAGCAAACCAAGAGTGAGCCACCTTGGAAGTAGATCCTCCAGCCCCAGTCAAGCCTTCGGATAACTGCAACTTTAGCCAATTATCTGACTGCCATAAGAGAACCCCAGCCAGAACTACCCAGCTAAGCTACTTCCAAATTCCTGACCCACAGAAACAATATGAATTAATAAATGTATCTTCTTCTTTTAAATCACTAAGCTTTGGGGGTATTTTGTTATGCAGCAATGGAAAAACACAGTGGATTAAAAACAACTTAAAAACAATTCTATTTCAGAAGTTCAGGAATATAACATATATCATTCAGAACTCAATCTGACATTGTGAATACCATCTGATTTTGAGATCTTGTTTTAAAGAAATTACAAGCCCTACTCTGCACTCAACTTTAAATGTGAAAAACAGGTCCGGAATGGTGGCTCACACCTGTAATTCCAGCACTTTGGGAGGCCGAGGTAGGTAGATCACTTGAGCCTGGTAGGTCAAGACTGCAGTGAGCCATGATCACGCCACAGCACCCCAGCCTGGGCAACAGAGGGAGACCCCCATCTCAAAAAACACAAACAAAAGTGAAAACCAACAAATACATTTGGAAGAACATCCCAAAGATTACCTATAGTTTTGGTCCAAATGTATTATACATATGAAAAAGGAGGCACTCATATGTTTTGGTTTATCAGTGTAGCTGGACAAGCCTGGCAATTAAAGTAATATACACGAAAAACAGCAGAATTCCTCCTTGTCAATGTTCTTTTCCAAGAATGACATTCCACATGAGCCAAATGCTATTTGATCTAAACTAGACCTCCTTCTGTACTTGTGTGTGTGTGTGTGTGTGTGTGTGTGTGTGTGTGTGTATGTACTTTTTTTTTTTTGAGATGGAGTCTCCTCCTGTTGCCCAGGCTGGAGTGCAGTGGTGCAATCTCAGCTCACTGCAACCTCTGCCTCCCGGGTTCAAGCAATTCTCGTGCCTCAGCCTCCTGAGTAGCTGGGATTACAAGTGTGCACCACCATGCCTGGCTAAATTTTGTACTTTTAGTAGAGACAGGCTTTCACCATGTTGGCCAAGCTGGTCTCAAATTCCTGACCTCAACCCAAAGTGCTGGGATTACAGGCATGAGCCACCGCACCCAGCCTGTGCTTGTGTGTGTATGTATGTGTGTGTGTGTGTGTGTGTGTGTGTGCATTTCTTTTTTCTTTTTTTTTTTTAGACAGTGTCTCACTCTGTCATCCAGGTTGGAGTGTGGTGGCATGATCTCAGCTCACTGCAACCTCCACCTCCCGGGTTCAAGCAATTCTCCTGCCTCAGCCTCCTGAGTAGCTGGGATTACAGGTGCACGCCACCATGCCCGGCTAATTTTTGTATTTTTAGTAGAGACAGGGTTTCACCATGTTGACCAGGCTGGTCTCAAACTCCTAACCTCATGATCCGCCCACCTCAGCCTCCCAAAGTGCTGGCATTACAGGCGTGAGCCACCGTGCCCGGCCTGTGCTGGTATATATTCTTAAGTGAGGACAGGAAAACAAAGAGCAGAGTTTTCAAAGGTGAAGTTGCAGTGTCACACACAGTACCTTTTGATGGCCACCAGCTCCCCGGATTCATTACTCTTGCCCATAAGCACACTCCCATACGTGCCGTCCCCCAACTGTCTCATGGTTGTGTATCGGTTCATCTTGGAAAAATAATGCAGCAGAAGTTGTTGATTGCAATGACTTCCTTGTTGAATATAAATTTGAACGCGTCTTAATTTTTATTTGTTTTTGTTCTCACACTGTTGTTGCTATACTGGTGACAGGTTTGTCATCATTCAATATAGGCTCCTCCCCAAGATTACAAAGGTTCACGAGATACAGCATGAAGAAATCTGGCAGGAAACAGCGCTTCCATTCTTATAGACACCCTAAAGAAAGAAAACAAGGATATCATGAATTTTCATTAACAAGTCTCTTCAAAAATTGTACTGGCAACTTAGAGCAAAGGGAAAAATTATAAATAATATAAATACTATTGTGTTAACTATTTGTCAGTAACTCACTTGTCTATCTAAAATGAAGTTCACATATAACTCACTGGTAATATTCACTTGGTAAATGCCTCATTTACATGGTACTGTGCTATTTATGTTCGATAATGGCATAATGGCTTGTATGATTCCTTTGTTACTAAATATAATCTATATTATTCCAAATCAGACCTTGGAAAATTGATGTCCATATTATATCCATTCTTTGAATCAATTTTTGTATCGTATTTAATTTGGCATATTATTTAAAACTGTACTACTTGTAAATTTTCTGTGGAATATAAGTACCCCAATTGGGTAAGGTAAGTATAAAGCAAACTTTTGTTTTGTATGAAAGGAATAGCATTATTTTAAAATTTTGTATTCTATTTAAATAACATGCTACTCTATTTTACATCAAACTAAGAAAAATTTAAATACTAATTAGAATTTAGTGTCACACTAGATTCATACAAAGAAATAAGAAACAGCTGGGCATGGTGGCTGATGCCTGTAATCCCATTGATTTGGGAGGCCAAGGCAGGAGGATTGTTGAGGCCAGGAATTTGAGACCAGCCTGGGCACCATATCATACCCTTCTTTACAAAAACTAAAAAATTAGCTGGGCTTGGTGGCATGCTTGTAGTCTCAGCTACTTGAGAGGCTGAGGCACGAGGATTGCTTCAGCCCAGGAGTTCAAGGTTACAGTGAGCTATGACCACACCATTAAACTCCATCCTGGGTGACAGAGTAAGACTTTGTCTCTAAAAACAATTTTTTTTAATAAATAAAAAAGGGAAGTGGAGCCTGAAGATGTGACTAAAATGTTGTAATATCATAATCAAACTTGAATGAGTGAGGAATTGTTTCTTACGGATGAACAAAGAAAATGTTTTATTGAGATGGAATCTACTTCTGGTAGAGATGCTATTAACACTGCTGAAAAGACAAAAAAGAATTTTTTTTTTTTTTTTGAGACAGAGTGAGACTCTGGTTGGAGGGCAGTGGCACAATCTTGGCTCACTGCAACCTCTGCCTCCCAGGATCAAGTGATTTTTGTCCCTCAGTCCTCAGCCATCACCATCACTCCCCCAGTAGCTGGGATTATAGGTGCGCACCACCACACCCGGCTAATTTTTATACTTTTTGTAGAGATGGGGTTTTGCCATATTGGCCAAGCTGGTCTCGAACTCCTGGCCTCAGCGATCCACCCGACTTGGCATCCCAAAGTACTGGGATTACAGGCATGAACCAGTGCCCAGTCAAGAACAAAGGATTTAGAACATTACATAAACTGAGTTGACAAAGCAGTGGCAGGATTTGAGAAGACTGACTTCAATTTTGAAAGAAGTTCTACTGTAGGTAAAATGCTATCAAACAGTCTCACATATTACAGATAAACCTTTTATGAAAGGAAAAGTCTGTCAATGTAGCAAATATCATTGTTGTCTTATTTTGAGAAATGGTCACAGCCATCCCAACCTTCAGCAGCCACAACCCTGATCGTTCAGCAGCCATCAACACAGAGGCAAAAAACCTCCACTAGCAAAATGATTGTGACTCACTGAAGGCTCAGATAATGAGCATTTTTTAGCAATAAGTTTTTTTTTTTTTTGTTTTTTTTTTATGACAGCCTCTCGAGTAGCTGGGACTATAGGCACAAGCTACCACGCCCAGTTATTTTTTGTATTTTTAGTAGAAACTGGGTTTCACCATGTTGGCCAGGCTGGTCTCAAACTCCTGACCTCAAGTAATCCACCTGCCTCTACCTCCCGATGTGTTGGGATTACAGGTGTGAGCCACCGCACCTGGCTGCAATAAGATATTTTTAAATTAAGGTATGTATATTATTTTTCTAGACAAAATGCTATTGCATACTAAATAGACTACAGTATAATGTAAACATAATTTGTATATGTACTTTGAAACCCAAAAACATTGTGACTTGCTTTATTGCAATATTCACTTTATTGCCGTGGTCTGGAGCTAAACCCACAGTATCTCCGAGGTATGTCTGTAGTTTGTTTTAAAGTGCCTTTTATCACTTAGTTCTTCATTCAAAGAATATTTTTCTCTCACTGTAGCACTTTCATTTACATCATAGAAACTGCTTCTCTATTATATGCAGGAATCTAAGACCAACAAGGACATGTTCTATTTGTCAAAATACTTAAGATTTCCCAACACAGCCTTTCCCAGAAAACAAACATAAACATGAGCAGACATAAGCGTGCAGAGAAGTACAGTAAAGCTATGTTGTTTCCTATTTACAGGAATGGATCTGTTCACAGAAAACTGAAGAATCCTGTGGCGCTTTTAATAACAGGGAGTGTGGGCCGGGCACCGTGGCTCATGCCTGTAATCCCAACACTTTGGGAGGCCAAGGCAGGTGGATCTCCTGAGGTCAGGTGTTTGAGACCAGCCTGGCCAACATGGTGAAACTTCATCTCTACTAAAAATATAAAAATTAGCTCGGTGTGGTGGTGCAGGCCTGTAGCCCCAGTTACTAAGGAGGCTGAGGCAGGAGAATCACTTGAACCCGGGAGGCAGAGGTTATAGTGAGCCAAGATTACACCACTGCACTCTGGCCTGGGCAACAGAGCGAGACTCTGTCTCAAAATAATAATAATGATAATCGGGAGTATGTATTTAACATTTCTCTTACTTCATGTAGGTAACAATCCCTTCAAAGGCACATATAAAATAATTTAGGCTATGCTAACTCCATGGCCAGGATCTTGAAAAAGAGACCACGACAGCAGATTCCATTTCTATTTAGGGTTTTATTCATTTTTGTCAGATTAAGCCTGAACTAATAATCATAAATACCAGCAAATGGTTCCCCATTTGCCTGAGAAAGAATAGCTTTTGTAAGTCATTGTCACCTTATGCATAGACACAGATTCCAAATATTAAGGCATTAATGTAGAGAAAGGCAATATCTCTCTCTACATGGTTTCTGATCAAAACATGAATTTGCTTTTCTTCATTTTGCCTTTATCTCTACAAGCAAATATAATTTGGAAAAACCTTTTGGGTTGTTTTGTTTTGTACTACATTAAACAAAACATGGACTAAAGTATATTTCTTCTCACTTAGGATTTTATTAAATCAGTATTTTGCAATTTATCACCAGCATATTAAATTGCTGTACACTCTTTTCTAGCTACCCTATTTAAGGTGGCATGTAACTATCTCTTTTAGGAAATATGTTCACTCTAGGTTTACTGATTCTTTCTGATTAAGTAAGCATATAGAGAATATATTTGCACAAAAGGCCATCATGTTCCTCATGACAGTAAGATCGTAAAATAAAAACATGGAAGGATTAAATGACCTGTCTAGGATCAACTAGAGAATCAACGATGGAGTCAATCCAATGAGCGCACTTGGCTTGAAGCTGTTGGTTTCTCAGGGCCGTCTCCAACTTTTAAACAAGCCATTCTTAGGAACTGGTGCCAGCTCTTACTATCCCTAATGAGGCTAAAGAAAACATCCTCTTTGCTCCAAAACCATGCAGACTAAGCTCCACAACTGAAGCCACCCACCCCAACCTCCACCTTAAGATTCCTAATGCAGCTCCTCACTCAAACACTAAGATATTGCTGATTAACTGGAAAGTGAAGTGGGACTACTCCATAACCTGACTAAACCCTAGGGCTACCTCTGGGTCATTCAGACCAGTGAAAACTAATAGAAACAGTAAAGGGAAAGAGTGAGACCTTAGAACTCGAATGGTTAAGGGAGAAAGAACCTAGGTGGAGCTCCTCTCATGAAAATTATTATTATAATTATTATTATTTGAGACAGAGTCTCGCTCTGTGCTGGGTCCGACCCGCAGACCCTGGCTGAACAACAGATCAAAGAATGCACTCAGGTACAGGTATCCAGTGAAAGAGCAGGCTAGGGGACCAGGTAGCACACAGACCGCAGCAGGGTGCCGTAAACCAGGGCACTGACCAGCTGGCGCTGCAGGCATTTATTCAGCACAGATTTAATGACAAAGGCTTTGAGTTAACAGGCTTGTGGGTAATCAACATGGTCACCCCCCCCCCCGCCCCCACCACCCCCAAGAGAGCAGTCCTGCCCACGGATGATTAAATGCCAGGTTCTGAGGCCTACCTAAACTAACTTATCTAGATCAGTTTCTTAACCTTCCCTTGTTATTCAACCTAAGCTCTTAAGAGAATTCAGCTGCCTTTGGCCAAATTTTCTTTCGAAGTTTTGCAAACCCCTGGCCTTCCAAGAAGGTTTGCATCTTTCTACGATTTTTCCTACCACCCTGACCGATCTCCTACAGCTCTGTTGCCTAGGCTGGAGTGCAGTGGTGCTATCTCTGCTCACTGCAACCTCCACCTCCTGGGTTCAAGCGACTCTCCTGCCTCAGCCTCCCGTGTAGTTGGGATTACAGGCACGTGCCACCACACCCAGATGTTTTTTGTACTTTTAGTAGAGATGGGGTTTCACCATGTTGACCCGGCTAGTCTTGAACTCCTGACCTCAGGTGATCCACCTGCCTCAGCCTCCCAAAGTGCTGGGATTTACAGGCATGAACCACTGCACCCAGACATGAAAATTATTTAATTCAGAAACATAATGGTATGATAGCATCATCTTTTTTTTAACCGAATTATTTTCATGTTAACACCTAACCAAGGACAAGCATTTGAGGGTATGAAGGGTAGAAGTAATGTAGACAATTCTGAAAAAGGACATATTACTTGAGAAGGGAATGGAAGAGGGAGCTGCCTCTAGTAGCATGGTAATGATGGTAGCGAGTGTTATTCAGGGAAGTGGAAACAGAGTGACAAAAAAATTTACCTTCATTGGCCCAACAATCTAAAAAATAAGAATTAATTACACCTCTCTCTTCCACTGTTGAGGCCATCAGCCACCCCATCGCCACCGCCCTGGGGTGGGAGGGTGACCTGAAGCTGTATCAGCGCTAACAACACAATAGAGCATTCGGTCACCGATGACTTTTGGCCCAGACGGGGGTACGCACGGTGTCTTTGCAAGTAGCTATCGTGGCAACCTCATTCCAAGCCTAACCAATCAACTTCTGAATAAACACCGGCAACAACAATTGTCTGTCCACTGATGATGGCTATAGGATAGTGTGTACTTATATTGAGGGAAGAATAAGCAGGGAACAAGACCATTTCCCAGCTCCTTTCTGTTTGAGGGGTGGAGTGGTGAGGATTATGGACGTGACATAGATTTTTAAAAGGTCAGATTAGTGGTTCTGTGAGCATCTGTCCCATTTAAGCCCTAGCTAGCTAACCTTTAAGTAAAACAAGTTTACATACTGCGCTCCCTAAGAAAAAACTTTGGAAAGGCTTCTTTTGAACTGTATTAATTACAAAATCAACAGCTGCCCAGGGTGAGAAGCTGATCATTGCCAACTGTTTCTTCTATCCCCTGAACATACAAGGACAATGGTCTAATGTAGAGACATAGATATAAAGATAAAGCTTTTAAAAAAATCATGATTTCCATGTCCCTGTTCCCTGATAGCACATAAGCAACTACTTTAACCAAGGTAGCATAGCAACTACTGATTACTAATCAAAAAGCAGTCTATGTTCCTTAAACACAGGCTTCCCATGATTCTACAGTTCACGCACAGTAATATTTCTCTACAAGTTACACATACTCTTCTCTGTTGATCCATGGAAAACTAATTCTACAAAATAGGGATATATTAACACAGTTTCTTATGTGCATGGATATATATAGATATGATACATATGCAACAACACAAAACCCAAGTAAATCTAACTATTATCCTCAATTTAACAGAATGGTTAAAAACTTGGAATTTTCTACAATCAAGCTATAATAGTTACTGACTTTCCTACGGGTTAAAGAAAAAGATGCTTATTTAGAGGTTTAATTATAGACCTACACAAAAATAAATACCCTTATAATTTATCTCTCATTCCAGTTTTCAACTTTTTAATCTAAGCTCATAATTACCGTTTATTTAAGTGCACAGTTGTTGTAAATCTGGCCTTTATTCTCAACAGCTTTTGCCAGCTAATAAGAGATTTAGATAGGATGAAAGAAGATTAACATAGAGGGCAAATGAAGGGTAAAACTAGTGTCTGCCAATTACTGAACAGATAAGGCTTGGATGTCTTCAACTTGGCTTTCTAGCACATACTATAATTATGTCACTCCGAGGCTGGCATTAACGCTTCTAATACATAACAAAAGAGGAATTAACGTTCTAAAAGTAACCAAATTCTTTAAAAAGCAACACAGGGAAAAAGATCCCAAACTAACCAAGTCGAAGGTTTACAGAAATTAAACAAAGCTATTACGATGGAAAAACAAAGATTATATCTTAAAATATAAAAGCACAGTTCTCAGTGCTGATATTCACAAATTATTTCAAAGCTTACACACAAATAAACAAAGTCCACCCCGACGAAAAGATTAAACGTCCTGCCTTGCGCCTGCAGTGGAAGCAGGCGGTGATGCGGTCGGCGGAACTCTCTCCCTCCCGGTCAAGCCTCGGGAATTGAAGGGCGGGGGAGGCGGGGCCCGACCGAAAAGCCGTTAAGTCACTTTTGTCTTCACCATTATTTCACTCGGTGGGTTGTCTTTCTGAATAAATTAAGTCCGATAACTTTGGCTTCCCTCTTTGAGAATTCCGATATCATTAGAACAAATGTCTGTTTCTTTTAAACGATTATCTAAACACAATTGCACACAGCTCTTTCCTTGTAGGATTGAGATTACTAACCACTAAAAACCAGTTTTATTGCTCTCGACACCGCACTCTTGACCTGTCCCTAAATTAAAACGTATTATTTGCAGAAAAGGGACAGGTTTCGTCACACGCTTTCTGATCCCGCTCTGCAAACCAGGGCCCTTAAGAGGCTCCGGGGACCGCGTGGTGGAAGAAGGGGGCGTCGCCCGGTGCCTGCAGTCCGGCGCCGTCGGGGGGACGCGGGTGTGCGGGATACTGCTTTCATCTGAGCGTCCTTTGGGATGCACCAGCGAGGGCTGAAGTCGGACCTAGTTCCTGTTTTTCTCCCTTCTTTTAGATTTTGCAACAGTTCTGACCTCAATTCCGCGGCCTCCCTGAGACCCAATCCTGCCTCTCTGTCCTAAAAGCAGTTTCCACCGCCAGCCCAAGCAGCAGGGGAGAGGAGGAGGGCGCAGAGGTGGGAGGCCCCGGAGAAGAGGTTCGGCGCGGGGGTCTCTCAGGCTAAGGGACGCCCCGCCGTCATCCTCCCACACCAGGCCGGCCCCCGCGGTCCAGGAGGCGGGAAAGCAGTCAGGATGTCTGGGAGACACCCACTGCCTTCCCTTGGACGGACCACTACCGCCCGCTCCGCCCCTCTGGGGACCCTCCTCCCTCCAGTACTTCTCCTACCGGCGTCAGGGACCCGTCTCCCGGCGGAGATTGGCCCTGGTAGCACAGGGCGCCGTGGGGACATGCCTGGCCAGCCTCGCAAGTCGGGCTCGGGCTGGGTCGGACAGAGGGTGGTGGCCCCGCAGCCCGCTCGGGATTACCTGCCCGCGCCGGCCGCTTACCTAGTTCGCTCACTTGTGAAGCTCCGGCGTCTTCTGTGTTTCATCTCCTAGGAAACGGCGGGGGCAGCAGGCGGTCCTACGGCCCGCCCAGAGAGGGCGTGGCCTCGCGGGAAATCCCCGCCAATCCCACAGGCCCCGCCTTCTCCGGGGCGGGGCTTCAGGGAGCAGGGGAACCGTCGGCTGAGCTGCGGCAAGTGTGCCATTTAGACTTGGGGTTTAGGGGAGTTAATTACCTTTTCAGTCAGTTCTTTCTCCGAAGTTGGTTTGTTTGCCCTTTATTTTGTTTTGGTTTTGTTCCGATTCATTCTAAAAAGTCTCGATTAATTAAAATGTTTCCCAGACCGGGCAGAGCAAGAGAATGACGTCTGTTTGCCTTTTACTTGCACTTGTTTATGCCTGGGGAAAAACTGTTCTCGTATGCAGTTCCTTATATTGGTCAATTCCTCGGGTATGTATTATCGCTTGGGCTGCACTTCTAAGTTTGTTTCCATTCATTCATTCAGAGAACCTGCCTAGTATCAGCCACAGGGTTAGATAGTGGTAATTCGAAGAAAAATGAATAAATGTGTGAATAAATGGATAAATTGTAACTAGTCTAGAATTTAGAGAGGAGGAGACACTTGTGTTACTGCAAATAGTTCAGATTGGCTGGCAAAAAGGGTCTATGAAACAGAAACATAAGCGATGAAGCAGTGGTGCGGCCAGTTAGTAATTATTAGGTGTCCGGCTGTGGGCTTGGGACCAAGAATAGTGCAAAGGTAGACACGACAGACATGCTGGTGGCCCTCACAGCTTAAAGTGAAGTAGGCTTTCTCGAGTATGTTTATATGGCAGCACAATTCACAATTGCAATGATGGGGAACCAACCTAAGTGCCCATTGACTAATGAGTGGATAAAGAAAATGTGGTGTATATACACCATGGGATGCTACTCAGCCACAAAAAAAGAATGAAATAATGTCTTCTACAACAACTTGGAAGAGTGGGAGGTCATTATTCTATGCGAAGTTATACAGGAGTGGAAAACCAAAAACTATATGTTCTCACTTGTAAGCAAAAGCTAAGCTATGAGTATGCAAAGACATACAGAGTGAAATAACGGACTTTGGAGACTCAGAAAGGGGAGGATGGGAGAGGGGCTAGGGATTAAAAAAAACTATGCACTATCTCAGAATTCACCACTATATAATTCATCTATGTAACAAAAAACTACTTGTAGCCCAAGAGCTATTGAAATAAAAATTTAAAAACAGGCTGGGTTCAGTGGCTCATGTCTGTAATCCCAGCACTTTGGGAGGCCGAGGTGGGTGGATTACCTGAGGTCAGGAGTTCAAGAACAGCCTGGCCAACATGGTGAAACCCCATCTCTACTAAAAGTACAAAAAACATCTGGGTGTGGTGGCACGTGCCTGTAATCCCAGCTACTTGGGAGGCTGAGGCAGGAGAATCACTTGAACCCAGGAGGCAGAGGTTGCAGTGAGCTGAGATCATGCCACTGCACTCCAGCCTGGGTGACTGAGCAAGACTCTATCTCAAAATAATAATGATAATAATAAATAGCCAGGCGCAGTGGCTCATGCCAGCACTTTGGGAGGCTGAGGTGGGTGGATCACCTGAGGTCGGGAGTTTGAGACCAGTCTGACCAACGTGGAGAAACCCCATCTCTACTGAAAATACAAAAAATTAGCCAGGTGTGGTGGCGCATGCCTGTAATCTCAGCTACTCAGGAGGTTGAGGTAGGAGAATAACTTGAACCCAGGAGGCAGAGGTGGTGGTGAGCTGAGATCACACCATTGCACTCCAGCCTGGGCAGCAAGAGTGAAACTCCGTCTCAAAAATAAGAATAATAAATAAAAGATTCATTGCTCTCCAATAAATAAGTGAAGTAGGCAGGTAAAGTAAAAAGCATAAGTTTGATAGGTCCTAGCAGCTTTATATACCCAGTTATGAAGCCTAAGCTTTAACATGTATCAATGAGGAAGACCAGTGAAGAATCTCTCACAGAAGAGTGACATGTTCACATTTGCATTTTAGGAAGATCCCAAGAGCAGCAGTGGGTAGGGTGGATTTGAGCTGTGAGTCTGCAGGCAAGAGAAAGATTGGGAGTCTACTGCAACTGATTGGGAAGAAATGATAAGGATCCAACTCTAGTAGTGATGATGGAAATAGGACAGAGAAAGAATTCAAGGGATGTTTAGGAGTTAAAATTGGCAGGACCATCAGCCTTGGATGAATGGTGGATAGTGGCATCCATGACCAAGGTGGAAAATAATGGAGGAGGAGCTGATTTAGGGATGGAGGATGTGAGAGATAATAAGCCCAGTTTTGAAATTTTCAAATTGAGGAAAATCCTAATGCAGATTACAAGAAGGGAGTTTGAAATATAGATTTGTAACTTAGGGTTCTTTTAGAGCTAGAAATGCAGATATGTTGGGATACTGTGGATGAAATCACGGATATAGATGAAATAAACTGTAAGAAGAGAAAAGGGATGGGATTCTGGAAAACTCTATCCTCTAAAAAGTGGAGAAAGAAAGAGTAGGGGTGAGGAAGAGACAGATTGAAAAAAGAAAAGCCAGGGAAGTAGTAGGAGATCGCTCAGAAAAATGGTATTTCAGAATGAGGAAAGGTAGGTTTCCCAAAAGAAAGATAAAGAGAAAGGAAAGAAGGAAAGAGGTAGAAACACAAAAACAGAACAAATGGCATTTATTCCGTCTGAAGAGCTCTTCTGTTTCAAAACAAGTAGAGCATGCACAAAACATATTTTTTCGTCACGTTTCACAATAGGAAGAATACAAATTCTCTAAGCACTCCTAACCCCTCCTAAAAGGTATCTAATATCTGAGCAGAGCAGTGAACGTACCTGAAAGGCAAAGGTGGCCCAAAGGCAAATCCCATTTCAGTATTTCAAGCAGCTGATGAAGCCTTGGACCCGTGGCAATAGGGCTGAGCTGGACCAGGCACTAGAAAATCAACCAGGGGAGGCCGGGCGCGGTGGCTCAAGCCTGTAATCCCAGCACTTTGGGAGGCCGAGACGGGCGGATCACGAGGTCAGGAGATCGAGACCATCCTGGCTAACACAGTGAAACCCCGTCTCTATTAAAAAATACAAAAAAAAAAATAGCCGGGCGAGGTGGCGGGCGCCTGTAGTCCCAGCTACTCGGGAGGCTGAGGCAGGAGTGGCGAAAACCCGGGAGGCGGAGCTTGCAGTGAGCTGAGATCCGGCCATTGCACTCCAGCCTGGGCGACAGACCGAGACTCCGTCTCAAAAAAAAAAAAGAAAAGAAAAGAAAAGAAAATCAACCAGGGGAGCTTAGAAGGGGTCAAAGTGGTCCCAGATCAGGAGCACCATCTGGATCCCAAAGGAAACAAACACAGTCATCTCTGAAGAAGGCATCCTCAACTTAGGCCTCTAGGTTTTTCAAAAAATATGAGCTCATGACCACAGAGGAATGAACACCGTCAAATGAGAATCTAGAAAAAGTAACAATTATTCAGACTTTCCAGGATTTCTGAAATTGGAAAAATCAGCTTGAATGCAAAATAGCTATATATGAAATATATAGAGAAATAGAATAAGGAATAGCAAAAATGAACAGAAATCAATCAGGAATATTAGAAAAGGAATTAAATAAACTGTTAGAAAGAAACATAACTATTGAAACTTTAAAAATGAGTTACATGTTGTATTAGAAGAAAAGAAAGAATTAGGGAATTGGCATAAAATCTGCAGAAAGTACCTAGAATATAGCATATAAAAGATAAGAAGATGAGAAATTAAGAGATATGATGGATAAAATAAGGAAGTCTAACATGACATGGGTCTAAATAAATTCTAAGAAGTAGATTTGTTGTTGATAATGCATTGCTACAGTAGTTGTTGTTTTTGGTTTTTTTGATTTGTTTGTTTTGTGTGTTTTTTTATTTTTTATTTGTTTTTTATTTATTATTATTATTATTATTTTTTGAGACGGAGCATTGCTGTGTTGCCCAGGTTAGAATGCAGTGGAGCGATTTCGGCTCACTGCAACCTCCACCTCCTGGGTTCAACTGATTATCCTGCCTCAGCCTTCCGAGTAGCTGGGACTACAGGCGCATGCCATCATGCCCGGCTAATTTTGTATTTTTAGTAGAGACGGGGTTTCACCATATTAGTCAGGTTGGTCTTGAACTCCTGACCTCTGGTGATCCACCTGCCTCAGCCTCCCAAAGTGCTGGCATTAGAGGGGTGAGCCACTGTGCCAGACCAGCTGCAGTAGTTCTAATAAAATTTATCTATATGGTAGAATCAAGCAAATATTGATACTGTTGAAAATCAGAGTTCTTATTTGGGAAAAGAGAGATAAAGATATACAATGGAGAAAGAAGAGGAAGAATCTGTGGTGTCAGTTTTGACTTGGAGGTAGCAAGATGAACTCATGACTTACTAAAAAATACTTCCTAGCTCTGTTCACTGAAAGGATCTAGAAACAATGACAGTACAGTAACATGAACAGATTAACACCCAAGTCCTGGTTTTGTAATACTATTATTTACTTAAAGGAAACAGGACTCCTTGGAGAAGTGGCTGATTCCATGCCTGGGCAAGGAAAGTCCAAGGTAGTCTTAAAATGTATCATGCCCACCTAACAAAGGTTAAAGATTCTGTTTTACCAAGCCACCGACACTACAAGGACTTTATAGTTCTTTAATTCAGATTACCCATTCAATGTATGTGTTAATGTCATCTAATATTTTAGTTTATATTTATAACCCTATAGATTGGTCTGTTATTTTACATTCAGATTATTTTTACATTGATACATATGATGATTTCTTTGCTCATCTTATCTTTTTGTACCTCAGACCTTCCTTCTAGGATTACCTTCCTTCATCCTAAAGTATAGCTTTTAGAAGTTCCTTTACAGTAGGTCTGTTGGTGGTAAAATGTTGCAGTTGCTTTTTGTTTTTATTTTTGTTTTTTTTGTTTTTTTTTGACAGAGTCTCACACTGTTGTCCAACCTGGAGTGCAGTGGCCTGATCTCAGCTCACTGCAAGCTCTGCCTCCCGAGTTCACGTCATTCTCCTGCCTCAGCCTGCCGAG